GGAAGAGGCCAAATAGACTGGAGGGTGTGGGGGGAAAAACCTGAATCTTAGACTTGACTGGCAGCAACTTGCTGGAGAACTGTGGGCAATTTCTTTGACCTCAGTTTCCTCTGTAAAAATTAGCATGTTGACCTGTTCTAATCGCAAATTTCCCCTCTAGGTTTACATAAGCCCCTTTTTTTTTTTTCTTTCTTTCTTTTTTCCTGAGATGGAGTTTTGCTCTTGTTGCTTGTTGCCCAGGCTGGAGTGCAATGGCAGAATCTCGGGTCACTGCAACCTCCGCCTCCTGGGTTCAAGCGATTTTCCTGCCTCAGCCTCCCGAGTAGTTGGGATTACAAGCATGTGCCACCATGCCTGGCTAATTTTTTGTATTTAGAGAAGGGGTTTCACCATGTTGGTCCGCCTAGTCTTGAACTCCTCATCTCAGACAATCCACCTGCTTTGGCCTCCCAAAGTGCTGGGATTAAAGGCATCACCTACCGCACCTGGCCCAATAACATTGTTGATGCAAAGTACCAACACTGATTTGATGTTGCTAGTTGGTAAACTTAATCCTCCAAGGCCTGGTAAACACCCAGCTTTCTAAGTCTGCCATCTTCAAGGGAACTGAGGACAAGAGACCAGTCAGTAGGCCTTTACACTAGTGTAGTAGGACCCTAAGTAAGTCATGGCACCATTCTGAAGAATACTGGAGGGGGTCGGGCTAGCGAATGCCAAATTTTGGCTTGTTTAAGGGGATCTGGATTTCCTCAGCTCTAAAAGTTGGGCTCCCGATCCCCGAAGGAGCAGTAGAATTTGAGACCTGGAACTCAGTTTCCTCATAAGGTAGAATATGCATTACGACTATATATGCACCGTTTCCTAAACTCCAGGGGCTTTAGAATCTGACACACACACATACACAGAACAAAACAAAACAAAAAATCGCAGTGGCTCACACCTGTAATCCCAGCACTTTGGGAGGCTGAGGTGGGCGAATCACGAGGTCAGGAGTTCGAGACCAGCCTGGCCAACAGGGTGAAACCCCATCTCTACTAAAAATGCAAAAAATCAGCTGGGCTTGGTGGCAGGTGCCTGTAATCCCAGCTACTCAGGAGGCTGGGGCAGGAGAAACATCGCTTGAACCCGGGAGGTGGAGGTCACAGTGAGCCGAGATCGTGCCACTGCACTCCATCCCAGGCGACAGTGCGAGACTCCATCTCAAAAAAAAAAAAAATCTATAAAATTGCTATTTATTTTCCTTTTCATTTTCTGCCTTTGAAGGAGCTTCAATAGTAACGTGTCCTTCCAGTCGCCTAGCCTGAAGGGAGGCCCCAGAGCTCCAGCTTCAAGGCTCGGCTCTCCGAGATGCAAGTATCGTTAGACTCTCATTGGTTACCGCCGCCGAGCCCCTTGTAACCCTGGCAACACTGCCCGCCCGCGAATCCTCGCGCTACGATTGGTCCATGGCGCTAAAGCCTGAACGTGAATTCCTCAGACATTGGCCCGAGTCACTGCGATGTTGACACCGTGGTTGGTGAGTTTGGATGTCAGTCAGAGTCGGAGGCAGGGTCAAATAGGGAGAAATGGCGACGGAGCCAGGCTGTGGGTGAGTGATTCCTGAAGGGGTGGAAGTGTGAGACAGTGGATCACCGCAGTCAGCCGTCATACAGCTCCCAAAGGGGTGTGAGGGAGGTTTTCTTCTCATCCGGCTCCAGCCGGACTCGGAACGTCAGACATCCACATCTCCCACCCAGGTTAGAGGTGAGAGGTCAAAGGCCGTATTCCCTCTCTGTTGGTTTTTGGACCCAGGTACTGTGGACAGCGGTCAGGATCCGGAACCAAAGACTCAGCTTTCAGCTACTTACAGAGTAATGGTGGGCAAGTCATTTAGCTTCTTTGAGCTTTAGTTTATCATCTGTAAAATGAGGACGGTAACTCGGTCTGGGGCCAAATAGAGGAAACGCTGGAATAGACCATTGCTGCTAAAAGAGGGATATAGTAGAGGCAGGAGAAGCTATGTACATTTGTTAGCCATATTTTATGGTGGAAGGGATTGAGGCTCAGAGAGGGTCACTGACTTGCCCAAGATCACACAGCAAGTTTGGAGCAATTGCAGTTCAAGTCTTATGCATACCAGGACCAAAGGAAAGAATGGATGCCGATCAGTCATTTATAAATATAAAATCATATTTTTATTTTATTTTATTTTTTGAGACGGAGTTTCACTCTGTCACCCAGAGCTGGAGTGCAGTGGCGCAACCTCGGCCTCCTGGGTTCAAGCGAGTCTCCTGCCTCAGTCTCCGGAGTAGCTGAGACTATAGGCATGGGCCACCATGCCCGGCTAATTCTTTTTGTATTTTTAGTAGAGACAGCGTTTCACCATGTTGGCCAAGCTGGTCTGGAACTCCCAACCTCAAGTTATCTGCCCACTTTGGCCTCCCAGAGTGCTGGGATTACAGGCATGAGCCACTGCACCTGGACAGAATGCTATTTTTTTTAAAAGGCCATATGCAGCTCTGGCCGTACCTATTTAAATCCCCTGTAACCATATCTTTCCATAGCTAGCTTCTTATCATTTAGATCTCAGCTCCAATATCATCCTTCTCCCCTGAGAGGCCTTCCATTAGCACTTTAACTAAAGTATCCCTCCCTTCCCCAGCTTACTCTCTGACATGTTACTCAGGTTTATGGTCCTTGTAAGCTTCATTATTGGATATATTTTTGCTTATTTGTTCACATGTTTATTCACATGTTTATTATGTATCTTCCCCTAGAACAGTGCTGACATATAGTAAGTGTTCAACAAATATTGTGTGGATGAATAATTGAAGAGCCAGGTGCCTGCTGTCTCCTTAAACCTCTGTTCCTCTCCATAGGCCCGTCTTTGGAAAAAGATCTGGGAATGATTGTCTAGCCTCAAGCCTCAACTTACTTGAAGCTTGAGAGACTCAAAGCCTCATGGACAGCTGCCCTGCAAA